ACGTTAACTCATTCTTGAGTATCGAAACGAGTCGAAACTGCACGACGAGGATCGCGTTGCAGTAGGCAATGTGCTTTCCAAGAAACAGGGTACTTTGCCCGCGCTAAAGGGATGATTAGCACAAGGTAGATTTGTTTTCCACGAGGCCGCGGTGATAAAACTCGATTTAATCTGCTCGCCGCATCGCGAATCTCTTCGGCGAAACTGTTCGCGCTCACTTGGCATCGGCTGAGACCCCGCGCAGCTATGTAGTTGTTTTACCGAGAAGTAGCACGGTTCAAGGTCTCTCGCACCATGGACAGAAGCTGCTCTCCGAGAGTTTCTGCTCGTTGGGTTATGACCGAGGATTCCGCGAACGCTGGCGTGAAAATAATTCAAGCCGGTCCGGCGGCAGCTAGGAATTTTCATCGATTAGGACTCCTTCGAGAGAAAAATGTACGGGATTCTGTGACGTGGGACTGCGGCAACAATAGAGCCTGAGAAATTGTTCCATTAGTTCTAACCCGTTAACTGCGGGAGGAGTTAACTCGCCGTTCGTAATCGACTCCGAGCGCTTCTTATTTCCAATTCTATTCAACTATCCCTTTGTCTCATTAGCTGGATGTTAGAGAGGACATTCGTCGAAGCTAAATTCCTTTTTCAACATCAAATTCGCGTCGATGTCGAGTCCGAAATCGCTGTTCTATTTCAAAGGTTCCACAGCTACGTCAGCGATTTGTCTTTCAAATTCTCCGTTCAAATAGAACGCTCGTTAGACTTCGTTTATCTATCAAGGCGCTCGCGAAACGTTCGCACGGTAAGCAGCTTGAAAGAGAAGAATTTCAGTTCGTCTAAACGGTCGTTACTTTCTTTCCTACGCCGGGAACTCGAGCGATTTCCGAGCGTTCCCGCGCTGCTGGAAACGGCGCCGACGAAAATGGCTACGTAACCCGCGCGCCCGTCGAATGGTTCGTTAATTGCCACTAGGCGCTTATCTCTTCGTCGTGAACGCCGCGCGTTCGATTACGTCATTCGAGGGGAGACCCGTAACAAGCAGAAAACCGCTCGAATTCGACGCGGTCGGGCGTGCTTTCGTCGGCGCGGGTTCACGGACAAACTCACGGCGAGACTTCCGGCGACGAGGAAGCCGAGTGAAGATCCTTTTAAGCGGGTCGATGAGTAATTCCGCGTTCCGTGGACGGACTCCGTGGTTTTGCGGGCCGGCGGCCATTTTGGGAATAAATTGTACTCGTTCGCTGCGAAATCTCTGCGACGTAATTGAAACTCTTTCCTCCTTGGCGACTCAAGGTTCTCTCAAGGTGACGTTTCACTGTGTTCTCGTTAAATCATATTCGTCGCGATGCAAATGAATTAAAACTTGTATTCGCTGTTCAATAAGATCTGCGGTCACTTTGATGCGTGGCATATTTGAATTTATTCCGAAGCAACTTCGATATTAAGGAAAAGAGACGTGAATTTGTAAGATTGGTAGTTTACCGATAGCTTTACTGGCCGAAGGTAACGTAAAAGAGGGCAATTCTGCAGAAGTTCTTTCCCTTGCTCTTTCTCGAAGGTTCCCGTAAGTTGTAAACGCATGGAAGTCTATTGTCTGACAACAAATGAAGCCCGAATGAACCCGGAATACACTGTTCCGTCGCCATGGTTGTTCACCCTTCTCTTCTGCGATTGTTCTGTCATATTTATCATGCGCAGGTGTAATAAAAATGTTTTTATTTATGTACGCGCGGGATCAAAGCACGAAGTATAACCGGGTCACTGAATTATTCCTGGTGCGACGCACGAGCGGTACCAGGAATTTCGTGGGAGCATCCGACGACTCCGCTCGGAGAAGAAAAGGAAAACGATGGCGCCCCGAGATACCGTTTTACCGTTCGCGAGTGGATCGCAATTACCAAACATCGCGGCAATGTACCGTAACTGTCGAGCCTCGATTCCATCCGGACGTCGCTGATCGCGTCGTCCGTGAGATATCATTACACCAGACGTCCTTCGGTGCCGCGGATCCCTTTTCCCGTTCTCTTCCCGGCCGGGACAACGAAACTGGCGAAGCCACTGTTGGAAAAACAAAACTTGTCCACGATAGAAACGCATTCCTCGATCTACATTCCAAGGAACTCCGCTTCACCGAGTCTGCGTTTACTAAGAGCATTGAAAATCGCTGGAAAACAGATCAATTGATGAATGAATAATTCAGTTACTCGAGTAACATGAATGTACACCATTTTCTTCCTCCCCAGTGTTTGAACTTTCAGTTGTGCAATTCAGTTTTCCGTATAGAATTTCGTAATATTTGAAACATGCCCGTTCGCAGAGGGTTAATTTCGAAAATACGGCGGCGGTTTATCGAAGAGTGTGGGAGTATTTGAAAAAGAATCGGGGGAGCCTCGTCGCCGGATTCCTTTACGGGCCAGCGTCGATACATATGCATGCGGCGAGCCGAAAAGGAGACCGTCACCTACTTCCACGTAAAATCGTTACACGGTGCCTGTGGACTGCCCGCCGCGTCAGGTGGATCCTCGATGACGAACATCGGCCTCGTGTGAACCAACCGGTCGCACCGTTACGGTGCCCCATTCATGGGACGATAAAAGTCACGGCCAGACCCGACTTTCGATGGGGGATCCGCCGAAGATCGAGCATCCTGAATGGAAAATTTCCGTGCCGGCACGCATACCTATTTAAGCATATATCTCGGACTTCAGCGACCCACTTCCTTCGATCTTCCTTCTTTTTCTCTAAACGACGCCTTTTCGTTTCTTGAACGAACAAACGTTCTGGAAGAAAAAGAAGTATTTCTCATTGGAAATATTCGGTATTTTCTTATGAAATATGGATCATATTATTCGCGATTGACATTGCGTTGTTAGAGGGTTGTACATTCAGCTACTCGTTCCTTGAGAATTGAATATTCATATTAATCAAGTACACCGGCGCGCATAAAAGTTGCCGCGGGAAAAGAGACCGACGAACGGTTTGCATAATTTATTCCCGTGGCTGCATGGAAAGCTGTGACACTGATTGCAAGAAGAATTCTCTTGTCCCACTTATTTGAAAGATGCTTAACCTCGTCAAGGACGAATGTTACAGGAATAGACGTAGATGATTTCAGTTTCAGGTTAATTGCACCTTACGCGGATTGAGCAGAGAATAATTAAACCGAATGAAAGATAAAAATCGTGAATGGTTTAGTACTCGAAGAATACGACACAGAATTTATTCTTCGCAAATAAGATTATCCTGAGCGTTAGTATAATATTATACCTCGAAGAAATCTTCGACAGAAAGTTCTAACTCCCTATTAGAGTTCCAGAAGAATTAACCACTTGACAGTGGAAGATACAGTTAACCGATTAAAAATCGTTTATCGTTGCCCATAGAAGCCAATGATCCAGGGGCGTTCGTTTAGTTGAAAAATTAAATAATGAATCGATGAAGAAATTAGTAATATTTGTTAGATGACGGGTATACTCGAGAGAGATACAGTTAATCGATTAAAAATCGTCGATCGTTGTCTATAGAAGCCAATGATCCAGGGACGTTCCGCTACTCGCGCAATCGTCGGTGGTCCCGCAAAAACTCGGGCGACCGGCCAGCGAATCGCAAGAAGAAGCGGTCGACGATCGGCCAAGCCAGGTCGTTTGACGTAACAGTACGTCCCGAGCGCATTTCGCTCGTCGGATCGCCGCGCGGATGGAAAGTTTTCTGGCCGGTCCGGTATCGCCGGTGGATCTTCGCTTGCGAAACAATCGTGGAACAGCGATCCACGGTGAAATTGCAAGCCGGCTGTTTCGATCGGGCGACCGCCTAAATGCAGAACACCCGGATAACGAACTCTTGCTTTGCATCGGCCATCAAGGACGGGAGGATTTCTGCGGGAAAAGCGGAAAGCGTGACGCGAATCCGATCGGCAGGGATTCTTTCGGCGCGCGATAACAATAATTCGCATTTATTGCGCGGCCAGTCATTGAAACTGAAATTAAGAAACAAAGGGAGCGAAATTTATGCTTAGAAACTTTCTTGTGAAGTACCGAGAATAATTGCGCTGTTATTGGAGCGGACACGAGTGATTTAAACAACGTTGTTGTTAAATCCGGCAACGAACTTACGCGGAAAAATCGTACGTATTGAATTTTTCAATAGCCACGAGAAATCTTCGAGGCGAGTAAGTAGCACCCTCTAATGTTAACTTAAGAGTGGCGACGGTTAGAATCGCATGGTTATAATTGTAGGAAATCATTTCTCAAATTGCGTACGGCGAACGGTATAATTGGCGGCAGTGCATGGCGAAGTTAGAGGAGCGTTCGCGTGTTCCGAAGTAATCACCGTCGCAGTCGCGAATAAAAGGCCGGCGATTGCTCGTCCGACGACAACCGATAATTGAACGTGCAGAGGAGCCGATTTGTACCCGAACCGTTCAAGTTCACGGGTCGAGCACTGAGGACAGCGTGCGCGTTCTACGATCGCTTTACCGTTACGCGGGACCTTTTCCGGTGACACTGAGCCTCGATATCGCATCGTAGCGAATAATTGCGGAAGCTCGCCACTAAGGAATCGCGTTAAAGCTTCCTTATGCATCCTGCTGTAATTTCCTACGTTCCCTGCTCTACGAGGATTCTCATCTTTTCGATGATCGTTGAATAAATCCCGTATAACGATGGAAATCCCACGACTTCCTTGAAACACGCGACCGCCAGTTTCGTACCTTGTTGCTCGCTTAATCAATTTGGTAAGGTACTGTCGGGGAGAAGAGTATTATTCGTTATCGTCTGTCTATTTCCAATTAGCGAATCAAATTTGCACAGTTCGAAAATAGTTCTCGATTAGCCTGTACACTTGTATAAGAATCTTAATGCCTGCCAAGCTGGAAAGAGCAATGTTTAATTCGCTATAACGTTGCAACAAGTATTGAGAATTGAATATAAAAGAACAACGCGCGAATATATTTTTACTCGCAACGTAGTTTCGTGTCGGTTCGAGTACATTACGTTTTATATTTTCAGGTGTCGACGTGACCGAAATACCGGCCGTGAAACCGCTTCGCGGCGACGCAAAGAACGAGACCAGTGACCGGAAGTCCGAGTACCCAATCAAGGATCATGACTCGAAGACTACTGTCGAGCCCAAGAAGAAACCGGTCGACTTCAAGATCAAGACTGATCAGAAATACCAGAAACCGTCTTTCAAGGATGACGACTCGAAACGTGCAGAAGGGAACGACGCTGGAACGACGACGACCAGTTGGATGTCGTCGACGAAGTCCGAGGACGTTACCACCAGTCCGCTGGAAACAATGGGAATCACTGTTCCCTTCTTGTTTCACGGGGAACCGATGGTTCCTGGGATCAACGCGTCTATGATGGGTTCAGAGATGTCAGGGAACAATACGGATGAAATGCGAACGATGGAGGAGACGACTCCGTCCAGAGGCAGAGCTCTGAACATTTCAGCGCCGGAGCCTACCAACTCATTGCACTCGAATATCACCGATCTTAGCGATGTTAGCATGGACGACGATGATAAAGATGTAGAAGGTAGATGTGAATTTAACGGTTACCCCTTAACCGTGGAATTCTCCCAATGAACAGTGTTATTCATGAACTTTAAGTCGAGTGTCAGTCCCGTTTCTAATTGCTTGTGAAATTGTAATCGTTCAATGTCTAATAATAAAAGATCATATTTTATATAGGAATCTAAACCGTAGTGTTCAGTGTAGAACAGTAAGGTTTAATACTGCACGAATGTGAATCGTCGTTAAGGGGTCGATCGTTTCTTTTTTAAATACTCCGATAGCCCAACGTGACGATATCGTGTCTATTGCAGGCGGAGAGTACGTAGCGCCTCACAACGAGACGTCCATGAACATTTCCTCGAGTTTATTGCCTGCTGTAATGGTGTGCGTCGAAGGTAATCAAACGTACTCCATGGGCGAGAAGATCGTTAGAGGCTGCGATGAGAAGTGCGTGTGCGGCGAGGGAGGAATGGTAACGGATTGCAAGCCGCTTTGTTCGTCGCCGTACGTCAGAGCGAACAGAGGAATAGAGGATCCGTTGTGCCAGGAGAAATTGGTCAGCGAGGAACCATGTTGCGCGATTCTGGTCTGCGCTGCCGACTCTGGTAAGCTATTGCATTCGATTCAGACAGATTTCTGCCACACGCCTTTGGCGAATGATCAAATAAACGCAACAGCCTCTGTGCGCGATAAATCAAATGAAATAACACTCCACAATGAATTAATCAAATCCACGAGCTACGAGGAACTTATCACTGACTTATCTGCAACTTATCTATCATTCGAATCAATTCACGCGGAAACAAATGTTCCGATCAAGATGGTAGATATACAATTTCGTTCCTCGACGCATAGAGTAATAAACGTTTTCTGAAAACTCTGCAAAATACCTTTCGTTTAACCTCCTCTGACCCGCGCGTTCGATAAGCTCGGACTCTAGGAGTTCTAGGGTTAATCCTTAGAAGAGCTTTAGGCTTTACCGCCGAGTGGTCGTAAAGGAGCCTTAGTTTCTGCCGTAGCGCCTGAACCGGAAGAAACCTGCGTATTCGGGAACAAAACGATCATGCGAGGGCAACGGGTCGAAGACGGTTGCTCGAGGGTCTGCGTCTGCGAGGCAGGTGGCAGCCTGAAGTGTCAACCCAGGTGTCCACCGAACGAGACCACTTCCGCGACGAATCAACACGATCGTTGCGTGATTCTCACCGATCCGAGGTACTAAGACGACTGCCAGGACCTTCTTTGCCTTTGTCTTTATTCGTTTAATACATTTTTATGGGCTTCAGAGATTCCTGTTGCACAATCACACTCTGCGACGTTACTCTGGGTGATCATGAGATCAGGCCAGAGATCTCGGCCGACCTATCCGTTAATCTAACCGATGTGAAAGTTCTGAACTCGACGACGATCAAACTGAAATTGTCCGCGAAGAATCCGCAGGACATCACTATAGAAATATCCGACAAGAATCATGTTTGGAGGCAGCAGAAACCTGACAAAGGTGCGAACGAGACGGTCTAGCGAAGTTTAGCAATATTTGCGATCCGATAGTGTATTTTTGATGATGACCCTTTTGGGCATTGGAAAATAGATCCTACAGAGCTGCTGGGACGTTTCGATGAATACTTTACTACACTGAATTATAAACGGCCGCGCATGTTATGTACATATGACCGCAATACTGTCGTTATAAATACGTAATCGGATTACATTATTCCCAACTCGGTTCTCTAGGAAATGACTCCGGTAGTATCGATCAATAACAAGAAACTTGTTCGTCGCAGATGGTATAATATCGAACCTGGAACCAGCGAGGACTTATTCCGTTCGCGTGACCGAGGGAGGTCGAACCGGTCCTGCTCTGCAGGTCTTCCTTCCCGCGGAAGTAATCAAGACGAACGTCTCGGAAAAGATGGGGGACAGGAACACGTGCAGCCACAGGGGGAAAACATACAAAGTGGGCGCGGAATGGTACGACGAGTGTATCTCGTTTTGCATGTGCGCTGAAGACGGCATGACTGATTGCTTGACGATCGAGTGCCCCACTGATTTCGGGCTGGACGTTCTAGACGCGCAGTGTTTGGATTGGGAGACAGTCCCGCCGAATTTCGTCGCGAAGCCGCCCAATTGCTGTCCTCAAGTAAGCTTCCAGCGACCCGAGAATGCTTTTCGAAGATCCTTCGATGAACGATACGGATCTATCGCGAGAACGATAATAACATATCTTTTACGAGTAGAATACGAAGTTTACAACGTGCACGACGAAGTCGTTCAATAATACTTTATCGAATTTGTCGTTTTATCTGTCACGAGACAGAAACCTGATGGAAAAGTTAGCGTTTAATTCTAGTTAAGAGAATGATCCGTTCCCAGGAGGTACGCTGCAGAAATAATGGCTCGTGCAATTACGAAGGCAAGACGTATGACAACTGGAGCGAGCTGCCGTCGAACGTGACCGGATGCGAGAAGAGATGTTACTGTGAGATGGGTAACGTTTCCTGCCAAGTCGCCTGTCCGCCAGTCACAGCCTTGCCACCTGCCACCCTGCCCTGTCCATCCTCCCAGGCCACCCTGACGCATCTACCTGGCGACGATTGCTGCATGGAATGGTCCTGCAACAATTCTCCAGGTACGACATCACGTTGCCCCGCGTAAAGTGTCCAAGAAGGAGAATTCTAGCACGCTAACCGCAACAGGATCTCGACAACTTTAAATAGATGTCGTTGAAATTTGTCTCTCGGGTCTCTTCTTTTTAGTCAGAGAATGTACAAGATGTTTTCACTTGATCTTTTTAATCCTCAACCGATGAAATTGAAATGCCATCGCCAGCTAAAGAATAAAACGAAATATTTAAAGGGACGTCCTGTACATTCACTGGCGAGTAAATGTTCGAAGAGTAGAACGTTGTGCAATCAGTATTTGGTTCTCTGGTGACGGTGGCTCTGCTGGATGTGTCGAATGCTGTCGTTGACGTCATGGAATTGTTTCGAGCGACTGGAATACCGAAGAGGATCCCGTTTTATTGGGTAGCGGGTGAAGTGGTGGAAGGGCTTTCTGCCGCGCGGACCTGACTGGAACACTCTCAAGTGCAAATGTGAAGTGTACATACACCCCCGTATATCCTCACGTTCGCACGATGAACATTGAACTTCATTTTCTCATTACCATCCGACGCACTGTCATCGTTCGACAACAGGCACCTAGACCTTTAACCGTAGATTCTATATTCCACACGAGTCCCTTCCGCATTAATCATCCCCGGAGATTACAGAGAAAGCATCCCCCCTGCCTGCATACCCCAAAAACACACGAATGACACACACTTCTTCGCAGCGATCCGGCTGGAATCGATTGGACAAAGCCGCTGTAAAAACCAAAATCTGTGCATGCTTTGTACGACTACGCTTGTACGTGCTCTACGAGATCTCTATCGCCTGTAAATATGCATGGAAGAGAATCGGGAACGCTGACTGCGTCGACCACAGAGCAGATTGCTCGGCGACCAGCGGCAACCCGCGATCTGTGTGACAATTGGACTTTGCTTATTACAGGAACGAACGCGACGTCCGCGTTCCCCGGCCCGTTGGCCGCAGACGCGTTCGATCGGCGGCCGATCAGTGGTACAGAAAAACCGACTAACAAGTCGGGACCTGCCGGGCCCAACCAGCAACCGGGACCTGCCACTTCCTCCCCGTGGGACGGCGCGAAAGACGTTCACACCACCACGGACGACACCACGACAGTGACGACTACAACAACCCACGGACTCTTCCATTACCCGATGGATCCTGGACACCCCACGATTCCATACAACGGACCCTACAATCCCGACTACAAGCCCACGCACCCCACCATTGAGGACGTGTTCCACTTTCATCACCCTATCGAGAAACCTCTCACCCCAGCGAAAGAGAAGAGCAAGTCGAAATCGGACGCGAAGAAACCGGTCGAACCGATCGCGAAACCGTTACCGCACAAAGACGACTATTTCCCCGGACCCCTAGCTCCGGACAAGTTCCTGGACAAGATACCCATTCATCCCGTCGACGACGACCAGCCTAATCCCATAAACATGAACAAACTGCCATTACCGCCGAAGACTGGTCACGCGACCGATCAGCCTCAATTCGTTCCGTTGAACCCGCACCAGAATACAGGACCAGGATTCGCTTTTGTACCTAACAACGGACAGAACAACATACCTCCGAACAGCTTAGGCCCACAGCTCGATAACTCCGCGGCTGGGCCGTCATATCGCGGTCCGATTCTTGGGCAAGACAGCGTCGATCCGAACGTGATCGTTCCGCTGAATCCGAAGAAGAAGACTAGCCCCAGCGACACGTTCGACGCTGAGAAGCCTAAGCTACCATCCGGATTGCCTGGCAGACCGAAACAGGGACAACGGAATCCTGAGCAGGAGATCCTACCCGAGGAGCTGTATCATCTGATCAATCTGCACCCGGGCCTGGTCCAATTGGATCACGGGCCACCCGAAGGACACCCGGCCTTGTACGATATCCATCAGCAGATCTCCGGTCAGGGCCAGTCGAGCAGCAATCAGATACAGCCCGGCTACTTCGGCGGGCCGGCAGGCGGGCCAAAGAAACCCGCGAAGCCACACGTGTACGCGCAAAAAGACGAAAACGGTCAGACCACGTATCACGTTCACACGCCGGACATACCGAGCACGCCGCAACAGTTCAAGGAACTGCTGGCGCATATCGGCGAACACGATCCCAATCCCGGACCGTTCCAACATTATCCCGGACAGCCGGCCATACCTCATAACGGGCCGAGCGGCCCGCAGGCCGGTATCCCGCTTCACATTGACGCTCATTTATCGCATACAGGACTCACGCACTTGAACCACCCGTTCGCAGCACAAACGCCCAACCAGTCAGGTTCGTCCCCGATCAGCAAAACAGTTTTACCGGCGACCAGTAGATTTGTTCACGGCACGTCGGCGTTCCGCTGATCGATATTGGAGTTAACCCATCTTGCCTCAGTGCACCTGTTTGAGTAAGATATTTGCAATCGAACGTTTCACTAGTGGCGCTTTCCTTAACGCAGGTATGTTCTCGTACTTATAGAAGTACACGTTTTCAAAACACTTAAATATACTGTTCTCTTGGTGATGTTTTCAATGAGAAAAAGTCATTTTCTTCGACACTTCGGGAACAAATCGCTTATGGGACAAAATGGGTTAAGGGAGATGAAACGTAGCGTTTAGCGTTGAGGTTGAGGGAAAGTCTAAGTACGTGAACAAATGTGTGGGTCGCTCTGTATTGTTCGTGGGATAGCTTGGACAGAGTCGAGGAAGCGACTTTGGCTATCTCTTTCATTGAGCATTTAAAGTTTTCATGCTAGAAGGGAGGGAAGCAGGAACAAAGAGATTTCTAGCGTTCGTTTAAAGATTTCGAGTTGTCAAGTTGTTCAAGCTACTGGGAACTGTAAGACGTTCAGATCGATTCATCCTAGATAAGCTATAATTCTGTTGATACTCTAGCGAATGACATAATCTATTTTTAATATTGAGCACCATGGACTCCCTCCTTAGGTATGGATCACAATTTACCACCAGGTTTCCCGCTACCCGGTGGTATCCCCGGATTCCCGGTCGCGTCATCGTCGGACGAAGTCACCGTGCAAGTCCTCGAAGCTCTCGACGAAAAAACCGTTCATCTCGTCTTCACCGTGCCGCAAGTTCTGGTGGGACTGCACGGCCGCGTCGAGCTGCGATATACCAACGATAAAACGTACGTTGCACCCGTGAATTAACATCTCACGATGAAAAATGGAATAATAAAAGCCTCAAATATAAAAAGCTTAGTTGTGATAAGAAGTATCGAAGAAGTAACATTTTCACTTAGGAACTTCGACGTCTCGACCTGGAAGGCTCAGGTGTTCGCACCCCCGAACGGTCTGATCGCGACGTCTCAACTGGAGTTCGAGCTCGACGATTTGAAACCGTCGACGGATTACAAGGTGAAGATCACGGTGAAGCTGAAGGATTTGGCGAACAGTCCGACGAGCAAGATCTACACCGTGCGAACTCTGGACAAACGAGCGGAGGTGACCACGTTGCCGCCGCAGATACCGATCGACGCCGAGCTTCAGGTGACGGAGACGAACTCCACTTGGATCAACGTGATGTGGAGGAAGTTCACGGAATACGAGCTGCAGTTCATCGACGGAGTTCAACTGCGGTACAAAGAGCAGGAGGGCAAAGTGTACTCCGGCACACCGTTGATCCACAGGGCAGTCAGAAACTTCGTGATCGAGAATCTGAAGCCGTCCGCTACGTACGAGGTCGGCATCTTCTTTGTCCCGTTCCCGGGACAATTGACGGAACTGATTAGCGAGAAAACGGTTGGTATCATCAGCATTCGATCTTTTCGACGACGTACATCGTCGGGCGGAAATATTTAAACGTCTAGAGTGGTCAAAGTCTAAACGAAAGCAGATAGTTATTGTTTGTAATAATCGGCGAATCGTGCGATTTTTCTCGAAGATTTATGTGACCACGTCAATGGAGCCGAACCCGTACTCGTTCGAAGTCAAGGTGGAGATCAAGACGATCAAGTCGACGGACGTGGAAGTAACGTGGAGCGGGGTACCTTATCCGGAGGACAAGTACGTGAATATCTACAGAGCGATCTATCAGAGCGACAGCGGTAAAGAAGACACGAGCACGTTCAAGATCGCTAAAAGAGACTCCCATCCTAAGACCCTGATCAGCGACCTGAAGCCGGGCACCAGGTACCGTTTGTGGCTCGAGGTGTACTTGACGAACGGCAGGATAAAGAAGAGCAACGTACAAGATTTCGTCACTAAGCCCGGTGTTCTCTTGCCCGCCACAATTTCTCAGCAAGGTATGCGATACTTGAAAACAATGATACTGTAAAATATCAAGAAATTCCCAACGATATTAGATCTAAAAGAGTAGCTAATTGCTAGATAGAAATGCTATAGTTGTACCGAATTCACTGGTTTTCTATGATCTTTCTGGCGAATAGAATTGTAAAGCATTGAATAATTTCGAAGAGGGTGTTTGAATTTGTAATTTTCGACTGCACGCAGCTGGAAAGCTTGCGTCGTCTGTACCTCTTCACGAAGGTGATTACTACGGCCCGTTAGTCGTGGTCGCCATCGTCGCCTCTCTCGCGATCCTCTCTACCTTGATTCTACTGATGATGCTGATGAAGAGACGAACCAGCAGCAAGGCCGATATATCCCCACGTAAAACCACGTCCGCCTACGACAATCCTTCCTACAAGGTAGAATTACAACAAGAGACTATGGGTAATTCACTCTCATTGTATTAATACGTTAAACCGAATCATTTACTGAATTACTTGTTGCCTAGTTAAGTTCTACGTGCTTGGAATTCGCGTGTATCTAAACGTCGTTCATTCAATTTCCGCGGCATTTATGAAACGATATTACGATCTTTTGAAATGGAAATGAAAGAAATGAAGGGACGTACCAATGTTTCCGGTCTGTTTCAGACTTGTGAGGACGCCGTGACGATACCCAATGGTAGAAACAAGAACGTGGAGCACGAGATGGCCACGATCAACAGCAACATCAAGGAATCTGCCTAATAGTCCTGTAATTTATTAAAATGTATTTATTTATGCGAAACTATCGTCGGTTGAAGATTGGTGTACATTTTAATACCGTAACGTTGCACGTTAGCAAAGAAACTCTCGTGAACTTCAAACATCAGGGGTGAATGAAGTGCCTTGAAACGCTAAAGGGGTATATGCTTGTATTTCAACGTCTCGATGTTGAGAAATTACCACTTCTTCGTCTTGTGAATTTTTTAACAGCATTTTACCACTGTCAGTGGAGTCGCATTGTATTAAAACTTGTAAATAGTACTATCGTGCGACGCTATAGTCGGTTCAGAATCAATTTCCCGTTTAAGACTAACCTCGGCCACTCGGTGTACTTACGATGATTGTTTGTATATTTATAACACAGGTGAATGCAGAAGGCACGGTAAAATAATACGCATGAAAATACGCGGATCAGTTATGAGAAACGATTCTCAGAGAACTACTGATTCCGATCTGACTATAACGGTCGCATTAAATGATAAGATAATACTATATACGTACTGTTAGGGATTGATATTATTTTCTGTATTTAAGGCTAACGATTAAGTCGTAATTAAGGAATCCTGGTGGGCGTCGATAACCCAGCTGCGTTTTGTACAGTTCTCATTTACATTTCCCTAGAAATCTATATAATAAAGATATATTACGATGACTGCAAGCGTTTGATCGCATATCGCGAAACACCATCGGTTCAAGGTAAAAAAAAAAATGTATTTATTTGTAGCATCTCTAGTTGGTATACAAATTGAGTAAACGGATGATACAACAAAATAAAACAAAGGGCAAGAACTTATTTTATATCAGACTCGTGTACTTTACAAGTATACAAACTTAGGCAATGTAGAACGTAAAATAATATGTTTGTTCAATGTTTGTTCGTGTAACAGTCATAGAGTTGAATATTGTAAAAGTGTTACTTCATCATGATTCAGAACATGCAAGAACGTATGAATACTTAAAAATATTTCTTCAATTCAGATTCCAGGTCAAGTGGATTTGTTGTCGGTGCATGTCTGGAAACTACTTTGCCTTCTTTATTAATGATGAATTTGGTGAAATTCCACTTGATTCCATCTGTTATGAATCCACCTGCTTGAGTTTTCAGCCATTTCCACAAGGGATGAGCATTATCGCCGTTAACATCAACTTTCTCAAAAACATCAAAGTTGACATTGTATTTTTTGATAAAATCTAGAATCTGTTCAGATGTACCCGGTTCTTGTCCACTAAATTGATTAGATGGGAATGCAAGGATTCTTAGACCTTCCTTCTCGCTGTACTTTTCGTACAATTCAACCAGTTCCTTGTAATTTCTGTCTGTTAGTCCGCAATAGCTAGCAACATTAACAATTATGCTCACATGTCCAAGATATTTTTTCAGTGATACATCATTGCCATGGATATCTTTAGCATGGAAATCATATATTGTAGAAGCAGAGTTCCAATTCTTATCCTGGTCAAAAGAACCTGCTGTTGAAGCCAGGCATTCTCCTTGTTTATTGTCTTCACAGTTCTGAGCTATGACCCCAGTGAAGACTACTGCCAACAAAACTATGAATTCTAAAAAAAGAAATTATAATTAATAGATAGTTCATATAATACATATTCTATCTCATAAAACATTTCTTCATTCTATTCTTCATGCTGATTTTCTTAGTCTTTGTTTCGGAGCCGGTTTCGTGCCGTCGGCAAAAAGAAAACAAAAAAAAAATAGGTGACCTCAAACGTTCTACTTATACTACAAAATAAATCATGTATTTAAAAAAATCATAAAATCTAATATTGACGTGATATAATTATTTATTCGTTAATATTATTTCCAAGTAAAATATTCCAAGAGATTCTAGAACGTCATTACTCACTGAGCATTTTGGTTGGAAGAATGTGTCGCCGCACTGCGGAAATTTATCAGAGGCAAAAAGCCGGTGTAATTCTTGTAAAATCAATAAACGGAAATTGATAAATTTTATTAATGTCGTGTAATTAATATAACGTAAACGAGAGAACTGTGTCACTATGTACGATTCAGTAAAATTATCCGAACGCTTCGACTGGTCGAGCGCAAATGCGACGATCTCTCCTTTGTTCAGAACTTTTAAGAAACTACGTATACACTGGCCAATGTCCAGTTCCGTCCTTGAATCCGTGACATCGCAGATTCTCCAAGTACGCAGAACAAGTCATGAAATTTTATCCGGAGATTAAACTTTTTAAACCGGAACTACATGTAGAATTTAACGTAAGAAGATAATAAATATGATATTCTAGAACAACAGATAATGCAGATTCTGCTCCATTATAAATTATTAATTTAAATTTGATTGCAAAAGTTTAAATTAGATAGAAATATAGTATTTTAAACGAATATACAATAAATAAACATTGATATTTACTTTGATATATTAGTAACATATAACAGTTTTGATATAGTTAAAGAAGTACAGTAATCTGTTTGTAAAAGTTACTATAACTTTCGGATAAATTAGATATATTATCTTTTGATATACTACATTTATTCCTCAAGTATCAGAAAAATGTTCTTGCCTTTTTGGCCATAAAGTATAATGCAAATAACGGTAAGTATCACCTTCAGTGGAAATTGTATTTTGACTAGGGGCGCCATCCGTGCTAAAAAGCTGAAACTGGTAGTTAAACGTGATCAACAGATCACCATTGAATTACATCGCCATCTGTTCGGTGTTTGTACAAATTACAAATGCTTGAATGTGGAAAATGTAGATTCATAGAATGTTCCTTTTATAATTATATAGAATAACTTAAATATTTTTAAGTGATATCAATAAGTAAAAGCTAAAAACCCTGGTGAAACAATGCTGACTTTGATACTGAAGTTACCATCATTAAAAGAGATCACTAGTTATATATATCTTGTCCGACTAGTTACTTTTGGTTTCCCAAAGTGAAAGGAACATCTGTGTATTTTGTGCACCGGTGTGAAATTTAATTGGGTTCTGAAGTTGTGTACTTATTACATGTACCTTCGATTTTGTTATCGTGAAACATATGAAAAGATATAAGCTACTGTGTATATACAAATTTAAAGGGAAAGATATAGAGAAGACATATATATTATAGCTACAAACCTCTTGCGGGGTTAGCCCGCTCTGTGATTTCTGTAAGCCCAAAGGATATGTGGCGAATTCATTTATGCTTAGCCTTTAAACAGTGCCTGTTTGTTTATTAATCGTGAAATAGAATTTTGTGAGAATTATGAGTATACATAGTAAGTCCGGAATGAAATGCAGTATACAATATGGGAATAAGAAGACTGACAATATCGGGGAAGGTAAGAAATTTAATTTTGTTATGTAGGAAATAGTATAATGTATATAAATAAAGATATGTACAAATTGAATGTTTCAGCTCCAGTTGAAAAACGTAAGAAGTCTGACACAGAAGTTGATCCACTTAAAACTACTTCAGAATCACGTTTTTCTGGACATAGTACTCCAATTAGTAAAAAGGGTTATGCATTTGATATAGAGGATTCCCCTGAACTTGACTATCATTGCAGCCCAATTTCACTGCCTTGTACACAAGATGGAAATGAAGTTGCATGGGACTGGCAAGTGCCTACAACGAAAAGTTCTAAGCCACAGACTAATCTAATAGAAACTCCTAAGAGAACAAAACAATTGCAAAAGAAACGAAACTCCAATTCTCCTCTACTGCAAAAACCACTTAAAAGGAAACAGATGAGAATGCAGAACATAGAAAGCATTGGGAAATTTACTGCCGAACTGAAAGCTCTAACAGAGAAGATGAAAAGCTTGCAAGAAAATAATGATGTACAAGCTGAACAACAAAGTAAATTGTTAATAGAATTAGACAGTGAAAATAATGAAGACGTGTTGGAAGTGTTAGAAGTAGATATGAACAATGATAAACATATGGTAAAAACTATGACTGTTAATAATAATGATAAAAAGAATATTAATATTGAGGACCTATTTGATGACTCTATTGAAGATGGTACAATGGAAAAGTGTAGTCAAGAAGTTGAAGAAAAATTCAAGATAAATAAGAGTAAAGGAAATGCTATGGAGTTATCTATTGTGAATGAAGAGGAAGAGGTGGAAATGTCTTCCTTAGAAAAAGGAATACAATACTCAACAACATCTAGTAACTCAGTTGTGAGTTTTAAAAATTCTAGAATGTCTAAAAGTTCCTCATCAGTTAACATGAATGCCCCCTTGAAAACATACTCCAACAATTCAAGTAAAACAAGTTCAAATAGTTCAATTTCCAGTTCCAAAGATACTAGTAGACAAAAATCTCTTTTAAACAATAATGTTATAAATGCTCCAAATGCGGAACGTATGTTACAAACAAAAGATTTTTCCGTTTTTCCGGATGATTCGTTTGACGATTGTTTAGCTACTTGTATAGAGGATGATAAATTATTGTCTAAATCAACAGAATATGATTTCAGTGGTTCAAATACGGATTGTAATTTAAATTGTTCTAAGAAAACTTCTAGACAAACTACTTCTAATATAATACAAAATATGAAACCTCCAAACAATTGTGTTCCAAAACGTTTAAACACTGGTTCAGTGCCTAATAAGTCTAATAACTATGAAAATTCTAAACTTATTATTGACGATTTTGCAGAGATTACAGCTGCAAATCGTAGAGAAACAATACAAAAATCATTAACTGGAAACACTGCTTTGGAAAATAGAAAATTTTTTAAAACAAAAAGTTTGTCTGATCAATATTTGTATCAAGGCAGAAATTCTAATGTAATTAATAAAACTAATAAACCAGCTGTACCCTCTGATAAACGTTCTCAATCTAATACACACGGTTCATCAGTAAGTACTAGTTTTCCCATTACAAAAAATCGACAATTGTATGACAGTAATAATCTCCCATCAAATAGTGGAGGAAGAAGTGTCTGTACATTGAACGGACTGGGAGAAAAAAACGCTGGAAATAGCATTGTTAAATACAAATCTACTAGTAATTTAAGCAGCATAAGAGAAACTTCTAAAGCAACTCAGTCTGTACAGTGCACTCCTGAAGAGATAGAAAGAAAGCGTCTAGAAGCAAAGATGAGATTAGAGGCGAAAAGGAAATTACTACAAGGTTCATTATCATGTACTACTTCGTCAGAGGCTCCAGTGAAGAAATGTGTAAAAAGGTGATGGTCTTGTATGAAATTAATCTGTAAGATCAGTTTCCATAAAAGCAGCGTTTTTATCTACAACTATCAGTGTGCCTTTCCAGTATTTCTGTCATTGAAGCCGTCTATTATATTGAAATAAATGGTTAAAGTTGTGAGATATTTCGTAAACAATATATTTGTATTTTAAATATTGTTAGAAATCATGTTAACACTTTTTAAATGTTCTTGTATTTATAGTTTTTTGTTCCATAACTGTTAGGAAAGCTACATTTGTTTTGCAGAATTGATCGATGAATTATAAGAATCATATAATAATAAATATATTTATTTGATTGTAATCTGTTAAACCTAATAATTTTGTGCCTTAACACAAAACGGATTTAATAGATTTACATAAGTAATTATAAGGCTTTGTATAACATTAAAATACTATGTATGTATCAGACACATATATAGTATTTTATCAATAAATATATCAAATATATTAGTTGTTACGCTATAGTTAATCTGCTATGCCATCTCTAATTACAGTCCTATTACGGGAGTCTCATATATTTATATCGTGGTACTCTCCTATTGCCCGACTTAGTTACATATATACTACTGCGACCGGAATCCTTCCTGAGTGTCAACGCGCTTTATTCACTATACCCTATGAATCTCGTATCCAAATCAATATCGAACGTCACAGATTCGCAGAGTCTCAATTCCATAAGAAAAACCCATAAATTTCCTAAATAAAATACTATTATCAAGAACCAAGGATATAGTATGTATCTACGTCTGACTAATCCCACGTTACTACTACTGCGCTCAAAAACTACCGTCCGTCAGACGCGAACGTCCGACGAAACAATGAAATAACTTTCCAAGTACCAATATAAACACCCCTAACAATACGAACGATGCGAGCAAATCTATCCAAACAAGTATATTCAAACACGAAATGGTTATGGTACATTGCGCGAACACCAGCGAAACAATTCACCGCGCATGTTTAACGCCATTACGTTCACCAGCACAATTTTCAATCGATACACCATGTGACGTCAGACCGTGGCGCGGCGTGGCGCGTTTGGTATCCGCGCATAACGGACTCTCGGCCGGAAATTGGTAAGAAATATTCTCCTTAGAAACATGCTCGCAGCACAGAATAACGAGCACAGAAATTTCGCACCGCGAGCCGGTAACCGTAATAATCTATTCCCCTCGTACGTACGTGTGCGCAACGCGTCTGCGCACGGCGGGCACGGCAAATGAGGTTAAGGGTTCGCACGCGCGAACGAAATGATCGTTTATAGAATGATAGAATTAATACGGAACCTCCGGACGTGTATCCGCAACGTGGAACCGGAAGCGGAGCTTATCGTCGAGTGAAACTTCCGTGTCCGTCGTTATTCCGTGCGAGAGAGAACTTCGCGGGCAAAGAACACGCGCCACTTCGATCAGTTTCTGCACGACTAACGATCGCGCAAGTTCACGGAAGCGTTTCTCGCGCATGCGCGCCGATTCAAGGGAGAGTGGGGGCGAGCACGGTAAGCTTTGATTGGCGGAGAAGCTCGATCGAGAGAAGAAGCGAGGACAGTCGGCCAGTGACAAGTATGGGGAGAGCACGTGTCGTTTGCATCGGTGCGCGCGACTTGTTTGCCTCGTACGTCGACTCGCGCGACTCCAGCATCAGTCAGACGGACATCGTCGCTAGCGCCAGCAGCGTCGCTACCAATCCCGTCGGAAAATCATCGTTCCACCCTTGCTGCACGGAGGGGCGAGAGGCGTTTCGCGGGTTGAAGATCGCGGTGGCCTCGCGTACAACGAATCCAGTGACCGCGAATGCGAGATACGTCAGCGCACGTCGCCGGCCCGTCACTATGTTACTCGCGGTGATCGCGTTCCTCGCCGCCGGCTCCAACGCCGAGGTCTTCACCAATACGTTCCTCGTGAAGATGCGGCAGCCCGCGGAGAGGCACATCGCCGATCGCGTGGCCGCCAGGAACGGGTTCATCAATCTGGGACCGGTGAGTCGAGACGTACAGCTATTTTTCCTTTCCGCTTTCGCGCCAATAGGCGTCCTTCCTCTGCCACCCCTCGCACGGGAAGTCGATTAACGCTTCGACTATCGGAGGCATATTAATAGGCCTATCGATGAACGCGTCACACTAGAAAAACAGCCTAACAAATTTCTCTGCTATGATATTCCAAGTAACGATTGGATCATTGAGATCATTCGTTGGTTCGTTGCAATCGATCGATTACAGATTGATTTCAGAATCGCTTGAAAAGCGCAGATCCCTTTGGAATAAATTAGGGGGATCTGATATCGCGATAGGATCTTCGATCTTATCGCTTATCGGACGAGAGCCGATTAGATTCGAGCGTCGGCGATGATTTATCAATTAGCCGGAACAAAATGTCTGATGGTAATCGGTAGGGTGTTACGTGTAGCGAAGTAGGGCGATTGATCTGGATCTTGAAACAGACTTGATACCGAGATCGAGGAGTCTGTTGAACGAGTCATTCTGATGATCTTCGGGTCTTCGAGAAACGTCAGCTTACGCTAGTTAGGCTTGCAATGAATAACTATATTTCGCTAATATTTGAACCTCGTATTAACGTGAACGAAGTTGCACGACTAACGAGTGGAAGTAAATGAGATTGAAGTAATTCGTTTTACGTGGATTCAAATATCCAACGTAAACATTGTCTTTAGCAAGCTAATGATTTGATCGTGCGACTGCACGCGTATGCTGTCGCCGCGCAAGGATCAACAGTCTGGCGATCTTGTTGCTGCCGGAAGAATTGCACCGTCGCCCATTGTTTCCCATTGTCTTGGTCGAATGGGAGGGTATGTCGGCCCTGTTGATCGGCAGCCAGCGCGCGAGGCTATCGAAACCACGAGAAATTGATCGGCAAAGAGCCTGTCGCGAGTTTCCTGCGGGCTTTCCTTCTCCGCGGTACTGTCTGTCACAGCACGAGATCTCCTGACACTGACACATATCGCTAAGCGTAGCACGTACGCGTTGCGGTCGCACCGAGGAAATTGCTTATCAGGGGTGAAACAGAGTGCGGCGTGGGGCGCGGACGGGGTGAATATGCCGGGATGAGAATGAAATCTTTGTCGGTCGATCGATAAGCTCGTCCGAGGATGGAAAAAAGCGCTCGCTGGGAAACACGAGTGTTTACGCGCCGTTCGTTGGGTCCGGGTCGGTTCAGCATTCGGTCGGGCTTTAATTAAATGAATTTCGGTGTACGCGGTTTAATGTAGGGCATAATGCGGTCTACAAGCGACGCGCTGGGGAATTAAAATAGAGTAGGATGAAAAGCTTCGCAGTTTATTGCATTGTAGACTGAATTGTCTCTTTATTTTATTCTTTTGACGGTGGATGCTGTTTATTATTGAAAAGGAAGAGATACGAATGAATTTTATAGGATGATATAATAGACAGTGAATAACTTCCTGTTACAATTAGCATCGTTAATCGCTTCAAGAACGAATTGTTTCAGTGTCGAGGGAGATAATTTACTCCCCAAGTAGTCGGACGACCGATTATTATCGGTAGCTAGAAGGCAAATTTTAAAATGTCGGGCAACGTCTTCGAACCAGCGCTTTATTAAACATTTAATATCGAGTTTGTAGCTGCCCCGAGTTTTTTGAATTATGCATGGGCCCGTCGTGTCGCGATATTCATGCGCGACGGCGTGTTCCTTGAGAGGAATCCTCCAGCTTCACCGGGTTACCTGCGAAGCGCCGCGCCGCCGCGACACCGTGGTTCGCTCGGGTTGGTACCAATCGTGTGCCGAATCCCGCCGGGAGAAACATTGACAAATTGCTCGCGCAGCAACGGTAAAATCTGTACCGGCGTCACATTCATCCTTGCTCCACTTCACCCGTTGATTTATATCAACCGGGAACTCGTTATCGGTTCACCACATGAACGACCGATATTCGCCGCGGCCGTGCGCGATCTAACGGGGCCGACGCATTGGTTCCCCGCCCGTTGTTGTCACGAACACCCGCATTATCGCGGAAACGTGCTCGAAACAGTCGTACCCACGCCGCAAATACGCTGCGGAAATCATAAGTGTTCTGTCTCTTTATTTAGAATCGCCAGCGACTTCTCGGACGCTTTTTTCAAGGTACGAACGCGCATGTTTTTCTTCGCTTTCGATGTTCCCTGACTAGATTTCGTAAAGTCCAGCGGGAATACAGATTTCTGCGAACGTGGGTTCGAATAGTTGTCGAAATCGTTAGTTGTAACGTGCTTCGGTGGAAGTGGAAAGCGTCGATCTGTGGTCAGCCGACGCAACAGTAGTACAAACGCGGCTTGGACCGACGCCTACATGCCACGAATAACGCTCGTCGTTTCAACAACATCGTATGCGCTGTTGGTTCATTCTGTAAAACGATACGGAGTATCTGCCAGAGAAGAATATTCCATTTTATACAGTTATATAAATCGCGGTCCTCGGGTTATATAAATAACTTTCCACTCGTCCTCTGTTCGTACGCGTTCTACCACGCGTTCCTTCGCTTTCAATTAAAATGACGCAAACTTCTCTGAATAAATCTCTCCGTGTATATCCAAGTTCTTCGGAACGTTCTGAAAGGTTCGAAAAGGTCGACTACCTTTCGAAGAGCAAGTCCCATAAACATTAACGTTCGTCGATAATTTTATTCGAATTTTAATTGCCCGCCCACCTGTGCACTAAATCGAATTAGGAAAGCCTTCCGTGGAGACAAAATTCATTCTCCCTCTCTCTCCCCCTCGATGTCGGGAATAAAGAATTTTAGCGGAGATTAGAATTTTCCGTGTGGAAAGTGGGAGGTAAACGTTCAACGCTAATGAGCGAGTCAGCCTCGTGGTTCGAAGAGGATGATTTACGGTTCGCCGGACGATAAGGGAACTCTCGGTGGCACGGCGAAGTTGTCGCTCGCGATCGCATCGCCCTCGTTAAAGTAGTTTTTAAAGGGACAGCGCCGGTTGCTATCTCCCGCATTGACAAACGGGGTAAATACTTCTGTCCCCTTGTTACGATTCAAACACTTTCTGAGATCGGCGCGAGATATCGATGTCTTCCTCGGTGCTCAACCCCTTGCCGTACCATTTAATTGGGCAAAGTCCGGGCTGTAATTGTGGCGACCGATATCTCACTCGTGTTGTCACCTCGTGTCACACTCGTGATATTTATGTTTGGTCCAAAATCTTTAATCACGAGTCAAACTCGTTAAGTAGTTAACGATTGTATTAGATTCAAACACGCCTGGAAATTGTTTGTTTATTGAGAGCGTGCACTTTCTTCGAAGCCGAAATATTGGTAATAGAATAACAGTTTCGAACTTCGACTAATAATATTGATTTCAATTAAATCGAATTTAAAGTATTCACGAGTCTCGTTCTTCGTTATGTGGCAAGGGGTTAAGAAATGGTCCTCGAGCGTGCGCAAGCTTGAACAGCGCGAGACGGGACTGTTTCCTGTGATAAATCGTCGCAATTGCCTATTGCGACTTTCGGGGTGGTTTCTTTTTATTAGTGTGATGGGTACAGCGAACCACAAGCCGTTGTCAGTTTCTTCTACGAGCAACTTACATTTATATCCTTTCTCCTGTCCTCGCTAATGGCATCAGAAGATTATCTTTTCCTCTTTCATTGAAGTACTGAGACATTCTTGTGTGTCTAATAACCTTCTTGATCCTCTGACCTGACACACGTATCTTGCTATTCAATTAAAGTGGAAGTAGTTCAGAGTCCTTGGAGGTAGGACGGAGTATCGTTAAGATTACAGAGTGACGGAGCGATAAGAGAATTCACGTGAGTCCGGGGCGGAATGGAGGCGAGGAAACGAGGCTCGAAAGCACCGAGATAAAGAAAATAAAGCTGCGGACCCCCGGATATCGAACGTAAACACGTTTCGTGTTACGCTCGCCTCGTCTGCGTTTCAATAATGCATTTGCGGAATTACCAGGCGAAGCTTCGCCATCCTTTAGTCTACTGTTACACTAATGCTACTTGTTACGGGTCTCCGTTGCCGGATTATTTTGTAATTCCGTCCGGTTCCTCCAGCTGTCTCTTCGGATGCTCGGATTCGTCGAATGTCCGTCGTCGCCGCCCACGCCGTCGGGAACAATCGCGATCCGCTAATAATAATCGTCAAATATTCCATTGTACGTTCGTTCGGTGTTCTCTCCGATCTCCTTGAGCGAAGAACTTGAAGAACCTTCAGAGGATTCTGGTTCCGTTCGCTCTGAGAAAAGCGGACGGACACAATCACGAGAGATTATGATAATTTAAAAGAACAAAAGAATTCTTAGATGTTTCCCATTGATCTTCGACATGCTCGGTGGTAGACAAAGATATTAAGCCTTCAACTGGGGCTAAGCTACTTTAGGAGAGACCAGTTCCGCGGTCCGACTTCTCACGAGTATTATTGCATTCAATTAAATACGCGAGAACTCTTATCTGTGAAACATTGACCCAGATTGGCTAACGTGGATCTAGTCTTAACCTAGATATAATTCACAGCTAACCCGGATCCAATAAAATCGCGAAGGGGAATAATCTCGCGACCCTTGAAGGAATAGTCCGTTACCAAGGATCGATAACTTAGTGAAAACGCTTCCGAAAGAGACCTCCAGGCTCAGCCGTACGGAAACTTCACGTCGAGATCTCGGTGAGTTATCGAATAAATTGGTTGGAAGCATGAAGGGATCCTCGGGTCGTGGCTAAGTAAAAGGAAGTCGAAAAGCGTGTAGGGGGAATCTCTCGCAGTTCCCCGTGATCGATATTACGGCTGTCATTAGCAGGACCGGGCAGAATTTCGTAGAAAATTGCGATTTCCGTCCACGGCGAAGAGGATACGGGTATTTTCAGCGGCGCTTGGTCGTTTGAAGAAGCGTCCGGCCCCGTGGCAGATGTAATTTATCTAGTCACCTGTTGGAACTGATCCCCGCCATATTTACAATGCCGGTGACGTTGTTTCGCTGTATCCGGCGTTGTCTCACGCAACTAATCGCCCGTGT